TATGAAAAAGAACCTATTATAACATAAGCCATTGGGAGGTCTTCAAAACAATTACGGGACCCCATACATGATAGACCACCTAAATATTTAGAAATAAAAAAATATAAAACCTATCAAAAAGAAAAACGTGGACACGTCACTTATCTCTCGCTAAAAACTAAATGCTCCCTCACACCTTTCTTGAAATTGGCGACAGTAGTAACCTGTTGGACCGACAAGGGCAGAGAGTTTCACTTGTCTACAGTTCTGTTAAAAAGTTAAATTTAAATGAATCAGTTCTTACAGAATTCTTCAGAGTACATTCATCTTTTCCCCTTAAAGAATATTTATCAGGTCTGAGAAAAACTGCGCAAGTGTAGCAGCTCTCATAAGCTTGTAATTTTATTTGTCGACATTGCAGCAGCTGCTATTGTTTTGGGGCTGCGTGCATTGTTGCTGTTGTTTGTTATATTTTTCTCTCAAAAGGTATCCAGCAGTTCATGAGAGACCTTACGAGAGCTGCTACAGGACCCAAAAACTGTACGTAAAACTGATTAAAGGTCTCGTACAATGCGCAATTTAATTTGTGTATGTAGTAGATAGAGGATAATACATGGGCGTACGTAGATATGGAATATGTCTTCGAGTGTTCAACTCGGTATCTCACGAGTGAGTGCAGCGAACGAGTGAGGTATAAAGTTGAATAAGAGAAAAGATATTTCATGTCTACAAGCAACCATGTATTATTTTGTTTATTATAGAGACATACTGATAACGATGTTTTTGGCTGTTTTCCGAAGATTTCCGACCACTTTCCGAAGATTTCTAAAAATTGTCCGAAGACCACACAAACGTTTCTGAACATTTTCCGAGATTTCCGAAGATTGCCAAAGGCTTTCGAGGAAGATCCGAAGATGTTTCGATCATACACCAACAAATCTAAGTACGGTTTAAGGGTCAAACACGACATCAGTGAAGTCATCGATATCTTCACTAGTGAGGATATGGAAAAGTCCCGGATGTAGTTTCGTATGAATTTTACGACTGCTGTATTTTCCAGTAAATAATGCACATGAAAAAATTACTCGATTCTGATTGGCTGAGAGCAGTGCAGTTCAAGTGTAACACCCGTACAAAAAATGTAACACCAGTGTAAATTACACATCGTAATTCTGGATAATGATCGGCCGAAAGACAATAGGAAATTTTCTAAGCCGATGATATCACGTAAAATGATGACGAAAATTTTCTACGGAAACTTTGAAAAACGTTTTTTCGAATAAGAAAAAAAAAGGCTTCAAGAAAGATCTTCCGGCACTTCCCCCACGCGAATTTTTTCATGTTTATGTTATTAATAAGTAATCATACGGTTTTTCTCGTTCCATTTTGAAAAACTCACACGTGCAAATTAATTCCAAATTGAACTCGAAACCGTATTATTACCTGTACAAAACACTTGTACCTATATAATAAAAAGGTTTTCCATGCGTAAAATTAAGGATAAATGGTCTGGAAAAGCTCAAGAAAAAAAATGATGTCAGGTCGTAAAATGCAAATGAAAAGTAGCTCAGTTATTGAATCCTACATATTTGACAGTTGAACAAGGGTTAAATTTTGATATCTTTATTGAAAATGCACTCAAATCCTAAGCTTATTTACAAATACTGTTTATAGCATAATCAGAAATGTTACTTATAGTTGAATAAGAAGTTCTTTTCTCCTATTTATAATAATGCCACACAACACGGAAGTGTGCCTGGAATCAGATCTTTGAAATACAGAGCCTTGTGCACACAAAAAACGCCTTTAAATATAAATTCGTATACAAAATGGTACAAAAATAGCGTTCGAGTTAAATATATTAGTAGCTTTTTTGTACAGAAAATTACTTTTTTCTCTCTTGAAGTTATAATTACTTTGTAAAACTTCGATAAATTATTTATTAAACGTAATGTATCTTAGTTGACTCACGTATCTTGCACACATGGTAAATAAGTGAAATCCTGCATCGAGAAACAAACTAACTGCCTTGTTTGAAAATTTCTAAATGCTCGGTCGTAAAGAGCATTGCTTCTGATAAATTATTTACTGAACGTAATATATCTTACTTGACGTACGTATCTTGCACTCAGGGTAAATATGTGATATCCAGCGTCGATAAACAAACATTTTGCCTTGTTCGAAAACTTCAAAACGTTCGGTCTTAAAAAGTACTGCTTATGATAAATTATTTATTAAACGTAAGGTCTCTTACTTAAGTATCTTATTGCACACAGGGTAAATATGTGATATCCAGCATGGACAAACGAACTTATTGCCTTGCTCGAAAGTTTCAAAACGTTCGGTCGTGAAAAGCATTGCTTGTGATGTTTTAACTGTTTTTGTAATATTATTTTCTTATAGTAAAATGTAACTCGACGGTTCAATTTTTCATTTGCAAAGTCGTTAACGTCTTTTCATTAATACGTTGTATATCCAGGTTTTCTAGTTCCACTTACTCTCTCGGAGAGAATATGCTTTCTCAGGGACTTCATGTCTTTCATCTTGAGTTTAAGAAGGTTTCTCAGTCGTTCGGATTCTTTTCTGCTTTGTTTGATGGCGTCAAGCAACTCTGATTCCTGCCTGGATCCAAAGCTTCCACTAAGCTCTCCGCGCTTCTGCAGCATGTTTTCCATCTGAGCGCATTTAAGGTCGGCATGCAAGCTGCCTAACTCGAGGTGATAACTCTCTTTCAGCATCCGCAGCTGCTCCATGAGGTCAGTAATCTGCCTGGTGCGCTCGTCAAGCTGGTCTTTCATGATCTCCAACACGTCACTTTTCTCACTGGTATGCATTCTAGTTGCCTGGAGACGGAGCTTAAGGTTGTCAATTTCCATGTCTTTGGACTCGAGCGCGAGCTTGGACGCAATTTCGTCAGCGTGACGCTGCTGTTCACTGGCTTCTTGGATGATCCGTACCTCTCGTTCCAGGGCCTCCACGCGTTCTTGTAAGAACTTGATCTCGTTCTCATAACGCGTGCGCAGTCGCTCAAGCTTCTCTTCCTTCGATTGGCTGGCGTTCTTTTGCTGTTCCATTTCGCTCAAGACAGACTTCACTTCTCGTTCCCAGCATTCTCTTTCGATTACATAACTCTGGAGTTTGCTATTGGTGGATGTAAGGTCGAGTTTCAACTCCGATTCCCGGTTGTGCTTCTGCGCCAGGTCTTTCTTCAGGAACTCGTTCTCTTTCTCTGTAACTTTGAACTTGGTGAGGCTCTCATTGTGCTCTCTTTCTTTGTCCTTTAACTCCTTTCCGAGCGACTCAGCCTCAGCTCTGAGCTTGCCAATCTCCAGCTGTTTGCGCGCAGAATCAGCGCATGCGCTACTCTGGACCTTGATCATCTGTCGTTTAAGATTCTCGATCTCGTGGAAGGAGTTCGCAGCTTTGCCTTCAGCAGTGTTCAAGTTTTCTTCCGATTTATTCAGCATCTGTTGTATGTGATCCTTCTGTTCAAGGACCCCCTTCAACTCACGATCGAGGATCTCCTTTTCGCTTTTTACTTCGTTCAGTTGACCACTAAAAGTACTACAAAGCTCTTTTTCTTTCTGAAGCAATGCCTGAAATTGTGAGCACTCCTTCTTCGTGGCGTCTAATTGATGTTTTAGGATCTCGTTGGTTGCTTGAAGGCTTCCTCGCTGGATCTCGAGTTCTTCGCATTTCTCACGGGAGTCGTCTAATTCCTTTTCTGTTTTCTCTAACCTTGTAGCTTTGTCTTTCACACTGTCCTTCAGCGCTGTAATTTCGTGTTCAAGGTTGGCTTTATCCACAGCTTTTTCCTTGCAGTCGTTTTCCAAGCTTGCTATGCGTTCGTCCGCTCCGGAGAGCTTTGTAAATAGCTCCGTCTTTTTCTCGTTAGCGGTGTCGTACAACTTTTCAAGCTCGTCGATCTTTAACTGGCTGGCGAACAGCTCTCTGTCTTTTTCTTGAATGAGTTGCTGTGTTGCTCTTTCGTTTGCTTCCAGTTCAAACGTTCTTCTCTTTAACTGTAACATGTTTTCTTGGAGTGCGTCAAACTGTTGTTGACTTCCCTTGATATCGCTCTTTGCATCAACGATCTGCTTGCGCGAAGATTCCAAATCCTTGGCATACCTTTCTTTTTCTTCCTCAGCGGTCTTCCGCTTGACCTTTGCTTCTTCTAAAGCTTCCTTCATATTCCACAGTTCTTTCTCGAGCAATATCTTTTCTCCCTTAGTTTCGGTAATTTCGTTATCCTTCTCTTTCTCCATCTCCACGCTTTTAAGTTTCAACGCTTCTAGGCGCCTTCTCAATCTCTTCACTTCGTCTTCTAATTTCCCCTTCTTCTTTTCTAAATCCTGGAGGTACCTTTTCACCTCCGATGCATTGTTCCTCTCTTTTTGAAGACTTTCGTCCAGACGCGCCATTTCGTCTGATTTGGCATTCAACTCTTGTTGGAGTGCTCTATTATCGTTGAAAGATGACAGACACGCCTTATGGAAAGAGTCCACTACGTCTTTCATTGATGTGTTTAAAGGTGTAACCGGTCGGGCGTCAACGCCATCAGTTCCCTCCTCATCATCTCTGGCCATAAACTCTGATGAAGGCAACTCAGCAAAGTGTTCACCGCTGTTTGTGGCTTTCATTTTGCGTACAACATTCATTTTGGCTTGCGCTTCAGCCAACAAATCTTCAATCTCAGCGTTTCGCTCCTGGAGCTCTTTTTCCAACCAGTCTACCTTCTCAGTAGTGAGATCAAGTCGCTCTTTAAGGTCGTCGTTTTCGGCGCAGGTTTTTGTCAGTGCATCTTTGGTCTTGGCAAGCTCGTTTGTCACGTTTGTGTTCTGCAATGACAAATCTTCCAAAGCTTGGTCTCGTTTGGTTACATCGGCGCTGAAAACTCTCTCCTTCTCGCCCATAACTTCACTGGTCTGTTTAAGATCATCTTCGGTCTTCGTTAACGTTGCCTGAGTATGCTCTAAATCTCGCTCGAGGTTGCCGCGTTCTTCGATCACCTTTTGATGCAGTGTCTTCAACTTGTTCATCTGGTCGCTCCAGGCTGACACCTCTTTCTCGTTGGTTTCTCTCTCTGACTGTAGCGTCTCCTGAAGATGTTGGATTCGCTGGGCGCTAGTGGCGCACTGTTGTTTAAGTTCTTTGTTTTCCGCTCGTAAGTTGTCTATGGTCCCTTCAGCTTCCGTCAACTCGTTCTGACTAGTCCAATACTTCTCAAAGACTTCTTGTTTCTTCTCTTCCAGTGATCTCATCTTTAGCTCGTCGTTTTTCAATTCTTCTTGCAACTCTTCCACTTGTTTCTGCCTCCTCTCAAGAGCGCTTTTTGTTACAGAGAGTTCTTTCTTTGTTGTTAGCAGATCGGTCTTCAAATTGGCTGCGGTTTCTTCGTTGCTGGCGATGATAACTTCCAGAGCTTCATTAAGCGATAGAACTTTACTGGAACTCGTTTCTTTTTCCTTCAGCAGCTCATTACAGGCTCCCTCCAGCTTTGTGATCCTCTCCTCCGAGACAATCTTCTCGTTAACCAACTTCTTTCTCTCTTTTTCGCTGCCTTCATGGCTCTTGGAAAGGTTCCAATGCTTTTCCTTCGAGTCGGCCAGCTCTTCCTCAAGCCTCTTCATTTCTATGGCCTGTAGTTCCGTCTCCTTCCTCAAGGCATTTCCCGCCGCCTCTAAAATGCTGACTTTTTCTTCGAGATCGGAATTCTCCTCTCGCAATCTTGCCAGCGAGCGTTCTAAATCTTGAAGGTTGTTCTTGTATGTTTTGCAAACGGCGGCGTTTTCGTTCAAGTCAAGCTCAACTTTCTGCCGCGTGTCTTTCTCTGAATTCATCTGCTTCTTTAAATGGTCGACCTCTTTACGGGAATTTTTAAATTCTGCCTGTTGTTGCCGCAGTTCTTCTCTTATTCCATACAGCTCAGCTTTCGCTTCTTCTTTCTCCTTCAGGGCATCATCGAATTTTCCCCTCAGATCCCTGAGTGTCGCCTCGGTGTTTTCCAATTCCCGCGCAAGGGTTTGCTTCTCTGTGTATTCTGCCTCTAACGTGGCGATCTTTTTCTTGTCATTTCGTCCTTCGTCCTTCATCGCTCTTGTATTTGCCTCCAAATGTGAGATTTTCTCATGGCACACCAGTAGCTCTTTCTCGAGGGCGGTCTTTTTCTGTTCGGCTCTCAGCAGATTTGAATCCAAAGTTGACATTTGTTGGTTTGCGCGGACCAGTTCTGAGTGTTGTTTCTCCGCTTTGTTCTCGTACTCGCCAAACAGTGACTCAAGCTCAGTGCATTTGCTTTGTAGTTGAATAATAGATTCGCGATTTTCCAGGTTTTCTTCCTTCAAGTTATCGTACTTTTCTTTTGTTTCCTCTAGCAGGGATTCTTTCTGCGTCAAATCTTCCTTCAGCTTCTTAATTTCATCGCACAGCTTGTTAGAAGTGGTGGAAAACGAAGTCACCTGACTGCTAAGAAGCGCAAATTCCTTATTGATAAATTCAACATCTCGTTGGCAACTCTTGGATTCTACTTCCGGTACTTTAGCCTCGGAGCGGAAGAAGTCGAGATTTCTTTCGGTAGCTCGGATACTTTGTCGCAAATTTTGCATCAGCACCTCACTGTCTGAAGCAATGGTCTCGCCATCTCCTTGCGAAGGTTTCTCGTCCTCTGTTGTTTTCAATTCCTTGTTCAGCGCGCTCTTGATAGCTCCTTTCATCTCGCGGTTTAGATGATTTATTTCATTCATCAAGGTCTCAGCATTTTGTTGTTGAGCTAAAACCTTTCTTGTGGTGACGTACAGATCGTTTGTGAGACTTTGCCTTTCTTCCTCCAGTTCATGTTTGTTCGCTTCCAGTTGCTGAATAACTTTGTCTTTTAGGCTGACATCTTTCAGTACGTTCGCTTTCTCTAAGCGAGTCTTCTTCAGCAATATTTCCAGCTCTTCATTGTTTCCTTTTGATTCCACGAGGCTCTTTTCTAAGGTTTCGTTTCTCTTAGCACTACTCTCCTTTGCAGTCTTCAGCTTAGCCACCTCCAAGTTAGCCAGCTTTAGTTTCTGTTGCAGATTCTCTTCTTCTTGGATCGATTTCTTGTATCGTCCGTCCATTTCCGACAGGTCTTTCTTGACTAACTGCAATTCTTCGTTAAGCCGTCGGTTCTCTGAAGACGAATCAAACTTGCTCTTTTCCATTTCTTGAACTGATTTCTCTGCTTCCTTCTGCTTTTCCTCCGTTTTTTCAAGACGGTTTTTCGCTCTGTTTAACTCGTTTTGCAGTTCCTCACACTGATTTAAAGCTTCGTTCTTCTCAACTTCAATGATCTCTCTGTTCGCTCTCTCTTTATCTGAGGTTTCTTTGAGTTTCTTTATCTGCCTCTCTGTTTCAGAAATGGTCAACTCCACATCACACTTTGCTTCTGATAGCGCCATGATGTCAGTTCGCAGCTTCTCGTTTTCAGCTTGGAATGCATCGTTCGTGATTTCAATCTCGGCCATTTTCTCTTGGATCAACCTCAGTTCGTTCGCCAGTTTAGAACTTTCTTCATCGGCTCTCCGCAGATTATCTTTCAGATTTTCGTTCTCCGTTTGGAAACTTTCGTTGGATTTTTCCAGTTCTGTTATAGTCTGTTTCATGGCGCCAACCTTGATTTCCAATTCCTCTTCTTTCTTTTTTGACTCCATAATCGTCGCTTCCAAGCTTTTGTTTTCATTCTGCAAAGATTTCTTTTGTTCTTCAAGATTAACGACTTTAGCATTCGCTTGTTCGTCACGAATCCGTGTTGCTCTGAGTTCTCCTTCAAGTTCTCGCCTCAGTTTCTCCGATTCCAGGGACTGAGTGAGATCTTTCTGCAGCTCTCCATTCGCCAGTTGTAAATCAGCACATTCAGCTTGTAAGTTAGACACCAGTACTTCTAAATCTTTCTTCTTCTTCAGAACGACGTCAACTTTGTCTTCCACCGTTGCCATGGGAACACTACCATGTGCGGAAAAGAAAATGTCGTCGCGATCGCTCGGCGAGGCTGCAAGCTTTTTCTCAATGCTTTCAAGCTGGTTCTTCTGACTAGTACTTTCTTCAAGCAACTGTCGAGACAGGACCTCGTATTTCTTCTTTTCACTTGCTTCATACTCAAATTTCTCGGCCACTGATTTGGAGTACAGCTCCAAAGTTTTCTCCTTTTCCTCTTGTATCTCAACCTTCTCATGTAACTCTGCGAAGTCTTTCTCTCGGTTTTCCAGCGTCGTTTTCAAGAGGTCGGCTTGAGTGGACACCACGGCAAAACTGCGCTCCAATTCGACAAATTTATTCCTAGCATCGCGAGTCTCGTCCTCCAACAACTTGACTTTGTCTTCCAGGCCCTGGACGCTTTTTTCCTTGACAGCCACATCACTTTTCAGCATTTCGTTTACCTGAGAAAGATGTTTCGCTTGGCTTTCCTGTTTTTCCTTCTGCACGGTGGCCTCGTAAAGTTTCCCGCGAAGTGCTTCGTTGTCTTGGACAACCGCTCGGAAATTCTCGATCATGGTCGGCATCTTGCACAGCAGCCCGGTTTCCTGGCCAAAACTTTCTCCCGAGAACGCGTTATCTGAGGCTACGGAGTTCGGGCTGTTGGGACCAGAACTGAACTCAAACGCGGACGTTAGAGAGATTCCCAGGGCTGAATCCGGCGACACGCTTTCATCTCTTCGGGAGCTCTTTCGCAAGTCTTCGATTGTTCGTGACGCGTTTAAAATCTGCTCCTCCATTTTCTCCTTCTCCTTCTCCGAAATTTCCAGCGCGGAGTCTTTCTCGCTCAGCCTTTTCTTTACATCTTCCATGTCTCGCTTCATCTCGTAATTTTGCTTCTTGACAATCTCATAAGCTTCGTTTGCCTCCGAACACGCCGATTTTAAGCTAAACAACCGCTCTCGCTGTTTCTTCTCGTCCGTTCCCATTTTCTCTAACTTGATCTTCAGCGCGTCCAAAGATTTCATGTTTTCCATGCGCAGTTTCTCCTCTCGATAAAGGCTTTCATCTTTGTCTTTAACCAGTGAGCGCAGCTCGAAATTCTCTGCTGTCAGCTGTTTGATCTTGTCCTCTTTTGTTCTGACCATAGCTTGAGCGTCGCTGAACCCGTTCTGTAGCATGATCATTCGTTCGGTGGTATGCTTCAAATCCTTTTCAACTTTGTCCTTCTCTTCCCTAGTAAGTAGATATTTCAACTCAGCTTCCTTCAGCTTGTCTGAGACGCCTTGAAAATCTGCTTCCATCTTGGCCTTCTCCTGCCAATCGAAAGATTGTTTCTGTACCTCCATTTTCAGTTGCTCCACCTCGATCACCAACCTTTCGTTCTCGCCCTGCAGCCGTTCGAAGGAGTCGTCTTTCGCTGAAAAGAAAGCGCGATTGTTAAGTACCTGGCGGAAGCGATAAGTGCTAAGACAAACAAACAAACAGTCAACAAATCTAAAGAGTAAACTTATCTGCACCTCGCTATAAACAAGCTAACGCTGGATGAATCGCGTCCAAGCTGTTATCAATAACTACTAGTCATTGTTCTCTTTTAATCCAACTGGGAATTCGGTCTTTAAAATAATTGGCGTTCTTGGCATTTTGATTACAGTTGAAAAAANGAGGTCGCTGCAAATGAATGATTTATTGAAAGTCAGTCACGTTTTGAAGGTTGCGCCATTTGTTTGGGTGTGTTTTGAAAACTCGTGAGTAATAAATGCCTTTAAGATAACTGTATTCGAGAAAAGAAAGACATCACTAATAGTTTTCCAAAAAAATTGAGCATCAGGCTCAAACTTTATATCATATTATTTAGTTATTTTGTGTAGAATCTACTCGAAGCAGTCGAAACTCCTAGCAAATACAGGCAGCTGATGCAAAGCGCGGGAAAACGTGTTCCGGAGAGAGTCATGATTGGTTTTGGTTTTACTTCTGAATGGATGACAAGGTGGCGCGAATTTTTTAAGCCAAGAGCATAGGGAAGTATTGGGAAACCAAAGTAAATGCGAATATTACTTTCGACACTCAAGTTAAAACTGCTTTTTGCACAATAACTAGGGCTTTTAATCTGTTTGAATGAATAATAAAAAGTCAATGTTTCAAACCATTAATTTCAATTCAATAAGCCAAAAAATGTAGTTAGATTTCAACAGTTTTTACATAAAAGAGTAAAATATCTTGGAACGTTTTTGGCTTGCCACCAATTGCAAACTGTTTCATATGCAAATAGTGAAACCCAGGTGAGTCTTGCCCAGGTCAGTGAGAACGCAATTGTAAGGGCATTGAATGAAAAACACATTCTTTGTTTCTAATCACAGGGCAATACAAAACTAATTTCTGAGAAATCCAGAGTCAACATGATAACGCGTGTTTCGCATTTTCATATCTGTGCTAAACCCTTTCAATCGTCATCATTTTATAAATCATTTAGTTTAATCATCCAGTCACTAATGTCTTGTTATCATTTGAAGAGCACTGTTCTACAAAGTCAAACTTTTAGTGCTGCGTTCCTACCCATCAGGCTAAGTTGTTTTCACTTGAATCTTCTTAATTCATGCTAAAACGTACTAAAAGTGTGGCTGAAATAGCTATCCTTACAGTCAACTACTCGAACCGGGCCACTTGGAAAAGAGTTAACCAATCAGAACGTTACTTGAGATCAAAGGATAGCGATCTTTTTCTCAAATTAATCAGTGACATTGAAATATACGAAAAATAGTTCTTAACAAAATTGAAACCCAACAAAGTGTGCGAAGTGTTGCGAACCTCTAAGGAAACTTTGCCATTTGTTGACTGGTTAGTTTCGATCTTAAACTTTGCATGCTTTTCAAAGGTTTTCGTTTAGTTGTCGTAAATGAGTTTTTAAGCTAATTTTTCGAGAGAGATTTTATAATTATGATAATTCGCCGTCAAGGGCCGAATCTCTCAGACCTCCTCAGAGTGTATATAACGCAGAGGAGTCGACAGTGTTTATGTTTTCAAGTGAAACAGACCGCCACTTGCCGTCACGAGAGGTTGTCAGTCCATTGTTCTCAGCTTACGCTTTGATTGGTTAGTTTTCTTCCAGGCGGCCCGGTTGAGTAGTCTCACTGTAAACTGACATACTGTTAAATTTCTTACCTGCTAATGTAGAGTCTCTTTCCCGAAGCGTCGTACTTAAACTCGTCTCCAGGCTCTCAATCTGGCTCGCCTTTACAACCTTTTCCTTGACAAGCTCTCGCAGCTCTTTCTCTTTATCTACCATCTGTTGCGCGTTCTTTTCCAGAGTTTCCTCGGTGTCCTGTACACTGCTCTCAAGAAATTGAATTTGCTGTCTGAGTAGATCTAATTCTTTTTCCTGGCTTTTCTTGACATTCCTTAAGTCCTGCACGGTGTCTTCTAAATAGGCTTTCTCTTGTTGAATATCCTTCAATGCGGTTTGAAGTATTTGCAACTGTTCTTTGAACTCCACAACTTCATTCCCCAAGTCCTCGATGATTTTGGGATCGTCAACTATTTCAGGACTGCTCTCGGGTAAATTTCCAGCTTCGACCTTTATTTCAGTTTTTCCATCAACTGTGTCAAAATCGACGTAATCCTCTTCGCTCTTGCTATGACTTTCTTGAATCTTTTTCTGGGGTTCCTCGTTCTCCCGTGCTATTTGCTCAATGCGTTGGTCTCTCTCAATAATTTCTTCCACCTTTTGCTCTAGGTTCTTATCTTTCACACTCAGTTTTGTCTCCAGCACTTTAATTTGTTCTTGAAGACGTCCCACTGCTGACTGTTCATCCATTAGTTGTGAAATGGTTCTGCTGTCTTCTTCAGCCTGATTTTCCAAGTCTTTCACCTTCTCGTCAGCGGCCATGAGCTGTTTTTTAAGATTGTCAATCGTAATTTGTAATTTGGAGTTACTAGTTTCCAACCTTTCCTTTTCGAGTCGCGTTTCTGCCTCTTTTATTTTGTATTCTTGCATTGTCTCTTCTCTTTTGCTAATCTCACTTTGAAGTTCAATAGTTCGACTTTCACGTCTATGTTTTTCTTTCTTTCTATCTTCGAGCGCTGCCTGCGTATCTAAAATCGGAGTCTCATAACTTGCGATGTTGTTGGTCGCAGTGAAGGTTTCTTCTTTATTCTTCTCGAAAGAATTTTTCAGATCAGATATTTCTGCTTCATACTTGATAATTTCCATCGTTGCAGCGAGATTTTCTTTCTTCTCCTCTTCGAGCGAAGCTTGTAGATCTGAAATTTGCGTTTTATAACGTTCAATGTCACATTTTAGATTCTGGTTTTCTTCTTTAGCCGAATCTAGATACTTCTTCAGGTCCGAGATTTCTAATTCACACTCCTTGATTATGTTCGCAGCTGCGACATTTTCTTTCCTCTCTCCTTTAAGCGACTCTTGGTAATCTGTAATCTGGCTCTTATACCTTTCAATACCGATGGTGGCAGTACGATTTTCCTCTTTAGCCTTCTCCAAAGAATTCTTCAGATCCGAAAGCTCAGATTTATATCTTTCCATCGTTGTTTTGGTAGCACGATTTTCTTTTCTTTCCTCGTCGAGCGAAGCTTGCAAATCTGAAATTTCGAACTTGCACAACTCGTATTCTTTAGATACGTTGGAACTTTCTTTTCCTGATCTGCTAAGTGAAACTCTTAACTCAGAAATTTCGTCTTGATATCTGTTAATTTCTTTCACGTTCCAACTGTTCTCTTTCTTGGAATCTTCAAGTGACGCTGTCAACTCCTCCATTTGATACTTGTACCTCTTGATGTCACTATATACACGCTCGTTTTCCTTCATTCTTTCATCAAGCGAAGATCTCAAATCTAAAATTTCAGACTTTTTCTTTCGAATTTCTTCTTCGGCATCGACCTTCTCCTTTCGTGTTTTGTCAAGCGAGGCTTCCAATTTCGAAATATCTGATTTGTATTGTTCTCTTTCATCCATGGCTTTGCGGTTTTCTTGCTGTGTTTTTTGGAGGTGAGATTTCAGTTCGATAATTTCGGACTTCTGCAGTTCAATCTCCTTTTTAGAGGAATTTAGCTCTTTCTTGGAGTTGTCCAGCGATGATTTCAATTCTGCAATCCTTGACTGACTATTTTCACTTGCTTTTTGTTTCTCTATTCTTGTTTCATCAAGTAATGTTTTCAGTTGCAAAGTTTCAGATTTGAAACTTTCAATTTCCTTTTTTGCTGTTTGAAATCCCATCCTTGCTTCTTCAAGAGAATTTTCTAAGTGCTTAATCTGAGAATTGCACTGAATAATCTCCTTAGTTGACTTTTCGTTTTCTCTTTTTGCTTTTTCCAACGAGGATTTGAGCTCCGATGTTTGGGATTTGAACAGTTCACTGTTATTTTCAAGATGACCTTTTTCTGTTCTTGTCCGATCGAGGGACGCTGACAATTCTGAAATTTGTGATTTGTGTCGCTGGACATCTTCTTCGGCTCTTAGTTTTTCTTTCCTTGTTTCCATCAACAAAGTATTCAAATCTGACACTTGAGTTTTGTACTGAAGAACTTCTGTACCAGCGCAATCCTTTTCTTCGCTTTTTTCGTCCAGGCAGTCCTTCATTTCGGAAAGTTTCGTTTTGTACAATTCAATCTCTCTTTCAGCTTTCCGCAGTTCATCTTCCTTTCTGTATAGCTCTGTTTCCAATTCTCTACCATGCTCTTCTGAAGCTGCCAGATCTTTCTTCATGCGGTCAATCACCGACTCTAACATTGAAATATTTTGCTCGTTCTTGCTTGTTCGCTCCAAAGGTAGCTCATTTGGGACGCCGCGGCCGTCTTCAGTGTCAAAAACAAATTCATGACTGAGGCAGTTCGTCTTACTTGCCCTCACAAGCTCTTCTAATGAACGACCTTGTTCAGTGGTCATGTTCTGATTTTCCTTGAAATAATTGTTGTTGATGACTTCATTCGGTATAGGTAACACGTGTTCGTCTTTCTGGTGTTTAAAATTCCCGAGAATTACTTGTATCTCTTGATCTTGTTTTTTCAACTTTTCTTGAAGTTCCTTGTTTCTCTTATCTGCCTCTGCCTTTTCCTGTCTCGCTTCCTCAAGAGACTTCCATAACTCCGATAATCTCTTTGGTGGGTTGAAAGGCGCATTATCTTCACCGTCTAAGTAAGAAGCTTTCTTGTCGTCCCGTAGTTTCTTGATTTCATTTTCAAGGCTCGCGATCTCTCGACCTTGTTGTTCCATAATTGCCTTCAGCTCTCGATTCTCTTTAGTTAAATTTGCTATTAAAACCTCATCCTTCTTGGAATTTTCTGGTGTGGTGCCAAGTTCTGCTTCATCGATGTCAACTTGAACCCCTTTTTCTGCTCTCTGTACTAACCGCACTTCGGTTTTGCTAACTTTACGCTCAACCTTGTTGGCAAAATTGACGGTTTGATCCAAGGACAATCTTCGTCTTACACTGCGAAGACTTTCAAATGATCGCATTCTTTCGAGCTTTCGGTGTCCACTTCCGCCCACTTGTACTCCTTTATCGACTCCCAGGGATCCCGTGCCCGGCACTCTGTTGGGTTGCGTGACACTACTGCGTCTTACGGCTAAGAGTTCCTCCTTTAAGTTTGCTGGTTGGATATTAGGAGTAAAGTTGAGTTCCACTCTGTGTGGTCGATCTTTAACTTTATCTGGTTGTGCTATTTCCTCCCGTTCCCTTGACGACAGTTCGTTCTTAGTAGTCTCTAATTCTTCCTTCAGATTCGCCGTTTCTTTCTGAGCTTCTTTTAACTGCTCTTCCGTCAATGAAATCCGTTTTTCCTTTTCTGTGAGTTCCTGTTCCATTTTCTCGTTTTCCAAACTTCTGCTTTCCAAGAGGCTCTCTAGGTTGGAGAGACTGGTGCGAGATTCGATCAGCTCATCTGAGAGCATGAGTTTCTCCTCCAGCATGGCCGCCATTTTTTGCTTCATTGACAGTATTTCACTCTCCATGGGTGAAATTGGGTTTGTGGAATCTTCACTCCTTCTTTCCATACTGTTAATGGCGCGCTCAAGGTCTAACTTCTCAACTTGCGATGCTCTTCGGGCTAAACTGATACTTTCAACTTTCGTATCTGCCGTGGAGAACTTCCTAATGGATCTAAGCTTTTCTTCGTCCTCCCTCTTTGAAACCTGAGCCAATCTTAATTCGTCTGATAAATCTTTGAGCTCGGCTTCGAGGGCTTTAAGCTGCGTTCCTACTTTGTCCTCCAATCGCTTCGACTCTTCGACATGTAAAGATTGTATCTTTTCCAAACCTTTAATCTGATGCTTCGCCTCTTGCATCAACTTGGACATTTGCGAGCTTTCCTCGTTCTCTCGTCCCAACCGAGATTTCAAGCCTTCTGTGAGTATTCTCTCCGTAGCTGTGGTGAGTTTTTCAACCGGGAGACTTCTTGTATCCTGGACTTTACTTTGCCTGCTTTCAAACGCGTTCTCCACGTCTTTCCGTAGGCTTTCCTTCTCCTCTTCTGATAACAAATACGATGTCTTTCTCATCTTTCTCGGGGAAATCAGTCCGTATTTCTTGAACTGTAAATCTTCTTCACTGTCTTCTTGCATTAGATCTTCGAGCGCTTGCTTTTGCATTTGAAACTTCTTCGACGTCACACTATGCGTTAAAATCTCATTTTGTAATTGCTGAAGGAAATACCGAAGCCTTGTGCTCTTGTCCACGCTGGTTTGCAGAAGATGAGCGTACTTTCGAACGGCTTCCGATCGCTGCACCCGAAG